CTCTCAGGTAAAATGGAAATGAGGAAGCTGCACACAATTGAGCAAATGTCAGATCCTGAGGATGCACACTTGTTTACCACCAATGTAGTTTGCACAAAAGAATGCATTGGTGTTGTAAACTCCTAGGGAAAAAAATGATTTGTAAATCTCAGTTTAAACAATATAATCCAACCCTGCTAACTGGACTCGGATGCAACATGTGATCTCATGAGTTTAAAGAACAAAATGAAACTGGCACCTGAGATATCTCTTCAGCCTAGTAGCACCAAACTGAAGTTATATTCAGGAGAAGTAATGGAATCATTGGGACTTTTCCAAACAGAATGAGGCATACGTGGGGGTATCCACATACTTAAATTTGAGATTGTGGAAGGTGATCAGAAACCACTATTGTCTGGATCAACATGTGAGCATCTGGGTTTGATGCAGTTCACCATTCCGGCTGAGTTACACAATGTCAAAGATTTATCCCTCAAAATCTTTGGCGAGGCCACTGACAAAACAGTGAATCCTCCTAGTCTACAATGAGATGTTTGAGGGCCCCATAGTATCTGTTGCAGGAGAGGTTCACTTTGAACTTGATCCTGCCATTTCACCAGTACAATGTGCCCCACGCAATGTATCAATCGCCATTAAGCTGCTGGTCAAAGCGCAACTGGACAAGTATGAAGCTGAAGGACATATTACTTCAGTATCTAAACCTAGCAATTGGATAAGCAACATGACTGTTATTAGGAAGCCTGAGAAGATCAGAATCTGCATTGATCCTAAGTTTCTGAATATGGCCCTGAAATGGTCACACTACCTAATGCCAACACTTGATGATATTTTGTACAAACTACCCAAAGCACAAGTTTTCATGCTTGTTGATGCTAGAGATGCCTTTTTACAGTGCAAACTGGATGAAAAGAGTAGTTACATGACCACATTCTGGACTCCTTGGGGTAGAAAGAGATGGCTCAAACTACCCTTTGGAGGTTCTGTAGCACCAGAGGTGTATCAAAGAAAGCAGCATGAATTTTTGAGTGGACTCCGTGGAATTGAGTCAATAGCTGATGATATTCTCATTGTTGGCTGTGGTGATATAGATGAATGATAGAGCTACATATAAGGTAAATATAACACCCATAACAATCACTATGTAAGACAGTGCTTGATCCTGCTACTTATCTGAGTAGAGATCATATAAGCCTTGACTGTGTTTTGATCTGTTTGTTCCATTTACACCAAACAATCAGTTATTCTAATTTTAGCTGGGTGTCAACATTTTTGAGCCCCACAGGGCAAATTGTATGAAAAAAGATGTGATTTACAACAGTTATTTCAATTTTCTAATGTTAAAAAATCCAGGTATACCTGCAAATTTTGGGGTGGGGTGGGGTGGGGGAGAGATGTCTTACAATTGTAAATGCTGGAAGGTATTCCTTTCATTGGAGACATAGCCTGCTTTCTGCTACAGACAGAGCTAATCAGTGCTTACCCCTTGCAATTCAGTGGCCCTAACTATATGACCTATCATGCAGACATTGGTACTGTTTAAAGTCATTGGCTACATATTTTTTTGTAAATTTATAAACTAAAACAGAGAGCCAGCTTTAGTGATTAAGGCACCTAACTCTGAGACTGTGAATTTTAGTTCCATTTTAGCCCAAAGCCAGCTGGGTGACTTTGGGCCAGTAACTCTCTCTCTCTCTCTGAACCTTAGGAAGTTGGCAATGACAAATCACTTCTGCAAAACTTAGCAAAGAAAATTGCAGGCAACTCTGCATAGAGTCTCTAGGAATTAGTACTAATGTAAATGCACAACATAATAATAATGGACTGGAACATATAGTTGCTTTGCAGCCCTTAAACCTGGGGTGTCAAACTCGCCACATCATGTGATGTGTCATGATGTATCACAACTTTTTTTCCATTCCCGGCAATGGGTGGGCGCAGTTTTGCCATGACGCATCCGGCCCGTGGGCCGGCAGTTTGACAGCCCTGCCTTAAACTCTCTTTTGCATTATGAAAGAAGCTGAAAATATATTTTCATGCATTCTTCTAAGAGCTTTACTTCCTTTTTATTCTCCAGCCTTGGATCATTTTTACATTTGGGCATTTTTTTCATTAAAAAAATGCTGTCAAGGCAGAAGATGCTTGAATTCAAATAGCTACATGCAGCTGTCAAACTGAATATTAGTCAATAATTTCAAACAGGAAACAGTCTGTTTGCTAAGTTAAAAAAAAAACCCACCATAATGATGAGCTCAGAATGCTCCTCCCTTCTGGTCTGACTTAAGCAATGTAGTAATAACCCTCAAGAGTAGACTCATATTTCTACACCTTGGTCGGCTGACCTGCAATAGGCCAGACTGAGGTCAGCTGTCTGGTAAAGAGGATTACATTTTTCAATACAGATAAGATACAACAGCAAGAATGATATTAGGAAGCTAAGAATGCACAGCAATGTTGTATGCATTCAATGTATAGTATGACAATGCAAAACGAGTAGACCAGAATTTATTTTGTAATTTTTGTCCTAGCATTTACAAGATTGGGGCTAGTTTAAGAGCAAAAATACTTTTAGAATATAAGCACCCAATACAAACTGATATTCACAAATGATGAAATAGACATAATAAAAGAAGAATTGGGGACTGAGGTTGCCCTTTCCTGACAGCATTGGGATCCTATAGACTTGTGTGTGTAATTTTTTTCAACTTTGGAAGAGAGAGAGAGAGGGAGGGAGGGAGGGAGGGAGAGAGAGAGAGAGAGAGATAGAGAGAGAGAAAGAGAGAAAGAGAGAGAATTGTAATAAAAGAAGAATTGGAGACTAAGGTTGCTCTTTCCTGACAGTAAGAAGAATTAATTAGTGGAACAGTTTGCCTTCAAAAGTTGTGGTGTTCCATCACTGGAGGTTTTTAAGAAGAGATTGGACAGTCATTTGTCTAAAGCAGAATCTCCCACTTGAACAGGGAGTTGGACTAGAAGTCCTCCAAGATCCGTTCCAATTGTTATTCTGTTATATTCTGTTATAAATAAAAATAAGTATGTACAGTTAATACTATTGATATTCATATAGTTAATAATCTTCCTCTTCTAGTACATTAAAAATAACCATTTGGTGGCAACTTAAGACTTTTGTCTGTTGCATGTAACCCTGAACCTCAGTGATCTTAAGGTAGATTATAGTATTACAACTCTCGCCATTTCTTATTTGCTGGCTGGACATTATAACACTTTAGCTCAAGTGGGCTCAAAGTGGTGATAGACTGGTTTTTAGCCGATTCATATAGATGCATGATATGGTAGAATGAATGAGAGATGTTCAGTGATCAATCACAGGTATAGTTCTATATTTAAATGGTCTGTCTAGTTGTTCTTTCCTTGTTATAGTTCGGTATTCTGTATGACAATTTAGAAAGAGAAAAAGAAAATGTTTTTGCTCCTGGTATTTGACTAGACTATTTGGATTTATTCTTTTGTGGAATTATTTTTTAATGTAATGCTTTTTTGGGATGTTGTCCTCACCATTTTGTCTTTTGCTAGTTTCTGCTAATCTTCTTTCGGCATGCTGAGAGCTGTTGTCTGCAAGGTGATTTGTTGAGCCAAGATTCCACAGAGAAAAAGTTGGCATCAACATATGAGTAATTGGAGTCTGAGCAAGCAGTACAAAAGAAGGCACACCCAGGATCTCTACCCATTTATCAAGCATTCTTGACACACCCAAGAAGGAGAAAATCCCCAGATAATCCTTCAGATTTTATATGCCTAAGGACACAAACTGATTTTGTGATTTTTTTTCCTTCTTTTTCAAATATCTAAGGTGTATATCTTGTTTTTCATTTTAAGAATTAAAATCTTAACAGATTGGTAGCTGGTTCACATGTATATGTACTGAACTATCGTTTGTTTAACTAAAGATTCATGCAACATGATGAACTAAAATCAAACAAATCACATTAGGACTCTTAGTGTGTTTTGTGAATCCAATTGTTCTAGTTCTATAATCAGCAGCATAATAGGAGGTTTAAGGCAGGCAAGAAGATGCTCATGGCATTGCCATCTATGCCTCACTTCTTGGAATCCAAATTACATTCCATCACAAGCCCCATCCCTTTGGACTCACCATTTTGAAGCTAGTGCTCATTATGATGTTCATAATAGACATTAGCTGATTAGTCCAGTTCTGCAATTTGATGCTTTTAGAAACTGTTGGATTTCTACTTCCCTTATTGATTGCTATTTGGACCAATTCCCATAAAGCTCCATGCTGGTTAATGAATGTGGAAGTTAGTTCAAGTTCAGCTGGAAGACATCAAGTTGATTAAAGCTTGTTATTTTTATTTTCTGGAAATAGTGTGCTCATCTCTCCAGTAATTTCTCTTATCAATAGTGATATCTGTAAAAGCCATACATATGCAAACCTCAGTATGGGAGGTATTGTTTATCCTTATACCTATAGGTGTATCTATAGCTATATCTAGTTCCTGTCCTAAAGAATGTGTGTTATTAAGCTATATAATATGCATGAAGTAGCAGTGTAATGGTTGTGTGTTACCCTCCCCCTATTTTATTTGATCGTATCTGTAGTTCTTTTCTTTGAACACTGGTTATATGAATTGGAATTCTACCAATATATACATTTATTGTGTATATATGTTTTTATTCCTGGGTGCCTGAAAGGCGTCTAACTTATAAATTGCTTTCCTTGAGTATATCCCTGTATGAAAAGATCCTATTCTATTTTGTCATTTCTTTCTGCTTCCCTTGCTTACCCATTTCACTCAGTAAAAAGATTTGTTTTGGCCAATAACTTTCTCTGCTGTATGCAGTGAAAGAAAATCCAAACTTCTCTCATGGAATGTTTGCAATTTGATAGAAATGTGTATTCTTGAATGTATAATGACAAAGATCTCTTCTTTTACTTGCAGTGAGCTAACACAAGTTCATAGTCGAGGCTCTATAGTGAATTTTACAGTAGATGGGTGTGTCTGTCTGAAAAGGTCCTTGAATCACTCCTTATATCATTATTACTACACCCACAGGAATTTACATCTGCAGGTAAGATGTGTTTAAAACGGAGAGTGAAAGACTACAGTTAAAGAAGCCAGGCGAGGGATTCCAGCTGACCCCTGCACAAAAGAGAAGGAAAAAGACAGGATAGTGCAGGTATGTTTTATGTAGTACAATGTTGGTAACTGTAAATCATCCCCTCTAGCAAGTATTGGTGGTAAAGTATTTCTGAATCTTAGCTGGGAGTTTATTGATGAACATCTAGAAATCTACTGATTCTTGGTTATATAAGGATTAGATAACAAAATTTATTGGTTTCATTGGTTTCGAATCATTTATCTTAATAAATGACATGGAGCTTTTGGGAAAGATAATGGAGATATTGTTACCCAGAATGAAACAGATATTTTTTAAAAGCACTAACAGTAGGGATTAAAGCACATGCTCCGGGTAAAGTTTTTAAAAGCTCCCTCCTCGCTTTAGATAGTTACATTTCAGTGTGATGTGCATGATCTTGTTCTTAAACCTGGTGCTTGAAAGGTAGAAAAAAATCTCTCTGAATAATCAGATTTTTCAAAGTCAGATAGAAGTTTAGTCCACTTTGCTCATGGGAAAGAATAGATTAAACCTTGTTTAGTGTTTAGTGCTTTGCAGTTGATTAATGCTTTGAAAATGACGAATACTTTGAAGAAAGTGTTATGTTTGTAAGATCCTCCCCCAAGAGATTTGAAATAAATGTGCAAAAGGTTAATGGAGAAAAAAATGGTAAGAGATAGAGGACATAAATGAAAATAATGTTCTGGAATTGTTTTTTTATCTTTGATCAGGAAGACTGAAAGGTTATTATTTTTATTTTTTATGCTTTTGTGGCAGTGTCGATTCCTGGCATCTGCCTGGACTAGACTGTGTCTATTTCTGGCCTGGTTTTGCATGGGATGTACATAAAAATAACACCCAGTATAGCATGTGGTTTTTTACTGGGCCATAGATCAGTCAAGCACTAGTTTACATAAAAATGCAATGGATTATAAGACATTTATGCCTAGTTGTATACTTATCTTTCTCTTGACATCTGTGCTATTAGCAAAAAATCATTCCAGGTTTCAGTGTCACTGTTAAACCAATGATATTTGGGTCTATTATTCTTGATGACAATTCATGGCTAGCCATGATAGAATGCCTCAGGACAGTAGTGTTTCATCTTCTCTTTTTCATCATCTCAAGAATATGAACAAGACAGAGCATATTGTGTCTCCACCTGCTTATTTTTCCCATTTTTATTGCTTCCCATTTATTTCTAACAGGGCTTCCATATTGTTCTTCTGCTCACACTCTTGGGGGTCTTCACTAATGATCAGCTCTCTTTGCATCTGTTTATTGATCTTATAATGAATCATATCACTGTTCATAGAACCTGGGAAGCAGGATTGACAGTGGTGACCATGGCTTTATTGTACTGTATATGCTTATTTTTTTCATGCTTAGATTTTGTAGTAGTCTCTTGGCAGTTCATCTCTATTGCTGTGGTTGTTGAGTGCTCAGCCTGAAAGTCACCTGATCCCAGAGTGTGGGTGGTGGGGAAACCCAACTGTCAGAACTTTGAATCTGGGTTGTACGTCCCTTTTCTTGGGTTTGTTATAACTGGCCAGTCGTAAGTTGAGGTCTACCTGTAATCCCTTTCATTGACATTTCCTCTTACTTCTTAGGATTGTTTTGCAATTATATAACAACAACAACATTGCAAAGCAATGTTAAAGAAAGGTTAATAATTTGTCATATCCATGCTATCATCTTTGTCATTGAATATATGTTTTATGTTCATTTAAGGTAACTCTTGAATGTTGTGAAGCTCATCATTATGTGGATATTCCTTCTTCTGGGTAAGTGTTTTCTCTGTATGCAAGTGAAAAATATTAGATAGACTAGATAAGGTAGATCCAGACAATAGTTAATATCTCCTATTAATGCTAGTTAGCCTCAAAAGCCTTGCCTTGGATCTGTTTATGCCGAATAATTATCCTTTTCCCTATGTGGAGAACATAGTGAGGTAATATAGAGAACACTGGAAGAAGCAGATTATCTCAAGGTGCAATGGAATGTGCATCTGGAGAAGTAGTGTGTGTGTGTGTGTGTGTGTGTGTAGGGGATCCTGGCCATGAGCACCATGGTTTCCCAGGGGGAAAATAGTGCATTCCAAAGAGAAGCTCAAATCAAGAGACTTCATAGTCCTGGGCTGGTTGGAGGAAAGGGAGGAAGAGATTCAGGATAGCCACACCCTAGAATCTCTTAGGATATATCTAGTAGGTTAGAAGGTTACAGTTTAGTTTGGCAAGATCTGTTCATTAGGTATAAGCAATTTTTTTAAAAAAATGACTCAGTTGGATTTCACTTTGCTGTTTTGGGGCATGGGCCCAAAAGAAGGTTTGTAGGTTTGTAGATGTGTCCTTATTAAATAACTGTGGGCTAACAACAATTGAACAAATAACAAAAGACAAAAATTATAATAATAAAAATCTTTCAAACCATCAAGAACAATCCATCACAAGGCTTCCCTTCCCTCCAGGCACAGTACCCGAGGGAAAGCCAGGTCTTCAGGGCCTTCCAGACTGTAAGGAGTGTAATCCTCCTCCTCAGATCAGGAAGAAGCTATTATAGAAGGTAGATGCAGTTACAGAAATGGCTGGCTTTCTAGGTCCTACCAGATGATAACATTTAAAAGCGGGGACCTGGAGTGAGTCCACTCTATCTAATATAGTGGGACCTGTACATATCTTAAGGGAACTATGGTCACACAGTAACCTGGTTGCATGTTATATGTTTTTAGCAAATATGTATACTGTCACAATTAAGAACATTTTATTAAAGAATAGTTCTGGTTCACAGATACAAATGATTTATTTTGTGTTTTCTAGGTCCATGTGTCTTTTGCACTATTTTCTAAAAAGGGCATTTGTAAATTAATGAAATAACATTGCATATTGCTATGTTTGTGATAGGAGAAAATTAAGTCATTTATTGGATGGGTGAATAATATTTAGCACTTTACTGCTTTTACAGCTGTTGCATTGTTTAGCATACATGGTCTCTCTAATCTTTATGACAGTGCTATAAGGTAAAGCCATAGAATTATCCACACATTGCAACTTAGCAAGTTAAGACTAACAGTAGGAAGCTTCACAGGGTTCTTACTTCTAGTCTGATGTATATACAGAGGATTACAGTTTGAATGACTTTTGTATGGCTATTTAATAGCTAGTTTATTGCAGAAGTGAAATTTAAAGTAGAAGTTCCTTAATTCTGTAGATAGTCACTTAACTTGAGTAGCTATTATGTTATTTTGCATTACTTCTTTGAAGCTGCTCAATATAGAAAAAAAGGGCAGCATTTCTATCCTATTTTCTCTTAATGAATACTGTTGTTAAAATCGATTCTGTATTTCTTTCTAGCCTCTCCATACCTCCTGGTTGCACAAAGAACCTGTCTGCATGGGGCCTGCTACCCACATGCACAGGATCTTCTTATAGGAAGAATCCATTATTTGAAGGCCTCCTCCACCTGTGGACTTACCCAACCTGAAACTTCCTGTACTCCATATGGAGAAGTATGTATAACCCAAATATTATTATTCATTCAGGAAGGACAAGACTTTCATAACTTAGTGGCATTGGTTTTGTGGTGTCACTAAACAGAACAGAGATTAGGTGCTTGACTATGTTTGATTCCTAGTAATTGCACAAATAGTCACCTTATCTGTCCATCTCTATAGATACCTTGCTGCTCGTCAAGATTACATTCTTGTAATCTTTTTGATCCCATTCATCTATCTTATCTGTGATTTTCCAATTCTTGTACTATTCTCATATTTGGGTTCACAGATTATGATATAGTTTTGGATTTGTTTTGGTTGTGCAAACTCAGCTGTTGTGGTATATAAACCATGATTTATGACTTTAGTATGTAATGGAGTTTTAAAGAGATAATGCTTAATCAAACCATAGTTAGTGCAATATGTGAACTTTCAGTATGATTTTGGGCACTGGATATTTGTAAAGATTGAGTCTACATGATTGCTATGGTAAGTTAGAACATAACGTTTCTTCACTCTCTCTGAATAAGATATGCCCAAAGCCAGAATTTTAAAGTAGAGTTATTATGTTCTCTATGTTTCAGTGCAGGAAATAAATTTGGAGCCCACTTCACTTCTGTGGAGTTTAATTCTATGTTTTGGGTGTCCCAATAGAGGTTATTCTCTTTGCCCTCAACACAGCCTGTACAAGAGTGACTTCTTTCGATAAGCAGTGATGTTCTTTTTCTTTTAAGTCAACTCTTACAGGTCTCAGTAACTAGAGAGGAAATTGATTTTATGCCAACTATTTTCATAACTTTTTCATATTGCCCTTGTAGAATATCTAATTTCTTGTTTATTAATTTTTATTTTCAAAGTTTCTCCAAAATCAAGAGGTCTCTGGTAGCATGTTTTCAGACTAAGAAATAAATTAAAGCTTATGTTTTTAAAATAAATTTTGCTATTCTGAAAAGATGCCACACAACTCTTTTTGATTTTTGACCACCACAAACTACCATGGCCCTTCCAAAAGATTTCCTTTTCTTACACATGTTTTAAGAAACAGAAGGAGGTCAAGCTGTTCTTCCTCCAGTGCTATCCCATTTTAAATCCCAGGTTAAGGCATTTCCTGTCTCTGGCAAATTTCAGATTATATCCTCTTCACATACAACACTTTGAATAAATGCTGATATAGCAGAGACCTGTTGGGACTGTCATTGGCAGGTAGCTGTAATCTGTGTAGGTGTAAAACTTTAAGATCCAGAGCAACTTTCATAAGCACATAATGTTTCACATAATGTGAAAGAAAGAAGCAGCAGCAGACACTTCTGAGTACAGAGAACAATAGTTCAGAACAGGGGTAGAACCAGCAGAAATTCCTGTACATGAAAATAGCATTATCTTTCTGCAGAAAAAAAAATGAAGCTCTTGAATCTCCTCATGTAAAGTAGCTCTTAAGGCACAGAGGCTGTGTGCCAACCTCCAGCTTGAGTATCCAAATAAAGTCCAGGATCCAAATAAAGTCCAAGAGTGAAAACCTGGCAGCTACATGCCTTATTGTTTTCATCTTGTCACTGTGTTTGGGAAAAAAAGCAAATAAAATATCCCCTCCTCTCCAATTTTATCAATCTCTGTACAGCAATTCAAAAGTGACTCCCCCCATAAAATGAATCCAAACTTTTGATGTGTTTAAGTTTTAGAGCAACTAGTTGCCATTCATTTTCCAATAAACAGATGTTAAGTGGGTTGTACATATAGGCCTGAATAGGGAGAAGGGGAATATGACTTAGGAATATACTTTGAGTTTGTATAAATTCCTTTACTATGCACAAAACATTAAATGAGTTTTCAGAAGTATTTATGAGCTAAGATTACCTGCAGAATCTGTTCTAATATGTACATTTTTATTACCATTGGATCACAGGAAAAGCAGAAATTAAAAATGATCTTTCTATTAACCTCCCCATTTCTCATTAAATAGTAGGTTGAGGAAAATGAGAAATCCTGCATTTGCACAGCATGGAAATCCATGGAAAGTATGGTATTGGTAACGGCCCTTCATATTGCACTCATGTGCTACATTTCTTTTCACCACAAGCAATTTTGGGGGGAAAACAGAGAGCCATAAATTTTGCCCAGCAAGAAATCTACTTATTCAAGGGCCATTTCTGTCTTTTGCACTGTTCCCTGTTAACCAAATATTCATAACATTGATTTCATTGAAAGGGAACAGGTTCTGATTCAATCACTATATAAATTAGTTAGCCACTGGACAGACATTGTGGCTGGTAATGCTGTCTGTTTCTAGGTCCTGACTCTTGAGAACTAAACTGAAAGCCAATAAGAAGTGGAAGGTAGGGTCACAGCATGTTGCAAGCAAGATTTAAGTCAAATAAGATTTTGTTGGCCATTTCTAGGTGTTTTATGAATAGGAAGTCTGTTATGAAGCAGAACCCATGCGACTTTCAAGGAGCATTATTAAAGGAGATGGTATGGTACTTAAAATTGTCTTTGAGAAAGGATTTTGGGAATAGCATACATGTCAGTGCTCCATGTTTATTATATCAACATACAACTCACTTAAAAATATGTCAAATTGGATTCTCTTATTGTCCATAAAGGTATTTCAGAAAGTTGGAGAAGTACCCCTTCTCTTCATCTTTAATTGCCTTGATCAACAATAAATAGGTTAAAGGGGACTTATTTTCTGCTACGGTTTCTGTAGCTTGTCATTATACTGGTATTTACTGCTGACACTGACTCATATTTCATGGTATGAGCTACTGATTAAAGGGTTTATTGATAGACATTGTAAGGTTTTCCTGTTCTCCTTGAAGCATATGAATTTTAAATGGATTAGCACCATTCAACATACTGATTTGCACTTCAGAGAATACTATTTAAAAGGTGTTGTTAGAGCAACTAATGCAGCTCCATTTTAAGACTGTTTAATGTGTTAAGGTTTCATGACAATCTGTATTCATAAAAATAATAATATAATATTATACTATAAGAGTAGAATAAGATAATTGGTTTAAATCAAATTATAGGAATTTATTTTCATGGACAAGCACAAAGATATTTATTGCTCTTTGGCTTTGATTGTCCTATTACGATTGTCAAGTCAAAATATCACAGTGGACCAGAACCTATAGTCCTTGTGCCCCTCTTTTGTATTATCTAGGTCCCTAAAACTACAAATAAAAAGGTTGTTCTAAAATAGAAGGACATACGTTTCTAGTAGTCTTTGGTTCAATGCAAACCCAGTAGAAGGGACTTTTGGGTGTGCACATGCATATTCAGATAATATTTAAATGTTAAAAACAAAAGCAAACAGTCTCAGCACTCAAGAGAAAGAAAGCTGAACATACCTTCTCTGCCTTCTGTGATCAATTGGTATGAATAAATCTAGTTTATTTATATATTAATATTGTAAGATACAAAAATACAAAAGAAAATAATAGGAAAAATACGGGAAAGAAAAAGGAACCCAGCAGCAACAAAAAAAAAAGAGTTTATTTTTTTACTTTTGATACCAGAAGTAGGAATTTATATAGAACTTTACCTTGCCCCCCCCCCCGGTATATGTGTGCATATGCTTTCAAATCATTCTTACTGCATAGACATGTCCTTACAGTTTTCTTAGCAACATTTTTGGAAGTGGCTACCTTCCTTCTAAGCTGAAAGTCTCACCTAACGTCATCCCAACTGCCTCATGCCTGAGAACTCACAGTCTCCTAGCTTCTAGCTTGGTGCTTTTAACCACCGTACAAAACTGGCTCTCTTACTACAAATATAACCAGTTATTGTTATATTGAAGTTAAAAGGAATTATTTCTAAAAAGGTGCAGTGAATGAATGAATTTAATATTGGGCATTGTTTTCTAAGTGGAGTTTGTATTCCTTGTTTATTTTCTATGTATATGGATAACATTTCAATATTTAAAATGTGACCTGCACACTGCTTCTCCCTAAAATGTGCATATACTTTAAAGAAGGTGTGGAAATTTCTGACATGTCAGATGCTAATGAAATACAGCTGCCCGAAGCCATAACCTGTGCAATAAAAAATGCTGGCAACTATATGGGCAAAAGACCACCAGTTACAAGCTTTTGCTTTACATCATGGGTAGAAAGGCAATCTACAAGCCATGGGCAATATGAGCCCAGTAATCTGATTCACCTCTTCCAAATGAGCTTGACTGCTTTCAGCAAAGGAGAGTAAAAATTTATGAGCTGCATATTTTAGGTATTTTTCCATTGCTCCTCACTGAACTTTTGTAATGGAAAACAGGAACTAATATGGAATAATTGCAAATAAATTGTATAATACTTTGAATATAATTCTGGGCTCAGCCCCCTGGTGTCCATTTCCACTCTTTATCCTACTTCGCCTTTTTTTCTTTTATTGCTGAGTAGCTTACTGAGCCAATACTATAATTTTAATGCGAGACTTGTTTTATATTCTTTCATTTCTACCCAATTTTCCTCTCTGCTTCAAAGTAAAGTTCTATTTAAATTCCTATTTCTGGTATCAAAGTAAAAAAAAAAATAAACTCTTTTTTTTTGGTTGCTGGGTTGTTGTTGTTGTTTGCAACCTCTGCACAGGGTATGAGTGGAGGGGCCATGCTTGCTTGCTTGCTTTCCTTCCATTTTGCCCTGTTGGCCAGCATGTGTTGTCTAACTCTAGTGCCAATCCAAGAAGTGTCCCAAAGTGTATGTTTGCGTCCTAGGGTATTTTGCAATACTGGTAAGTTTCCTGTTGATGGAAACACTCCAAAATTCTGCCTTGGATTTGGCTGCAGTTCCTTCTAAACTTTATACTTTGTACCCCCACAGTGGAAGCTTGTTGGATAGGTCTAATGCATCTTATCTATCCTATATAACACAATATATATTAATTTGATAATTTATTGGGAAATGCTTTATTAAACCCTTGCCTGTTGGAAAATAAAGTCTGGTTTCACTAAAAGATTGTTATACTTACCTATGTTGAATAAATTGATATAAAATGGGGAATGTAAATTTTTAGTTTTT